ATATACACATATTCATAACTCAACAAGGTTCTGCTTTACAACCACCACCCCAGCTAATGCTTACCTTACGCTCACTACTGCAAAAAAAATAAAAAATAAAAAAATAAAATAAAAAAAACCAAGTCACCATAAGAAATATGCGTCTAGACAAATTTACGCAAAAAAGATGCACTCTACACTTAAATTATTAAATCAAAGCAACCACTTAGAATTCCTGTGTCTCTTCATTTGCACGGACTAGACACTACAGAAGCATTGGAGTGGGTGTTTGGAACTGCATGCTTATAACATAATTGCACTTCAGTGCCGCCACAAAAATGTCAACTTCCCCCAGCAAAAAATAAATAAATAAAAATACTTTCCCCACCCTAGACTAGCGCAAGAGGCCCTCCCACTGTGACCATCYGAACTATCCTGACACTGTTTCCACAGACTCCTAAAAGAGAAGTCTGGGTTGATACTGTATTAGCAAATGGTATTGTTCTGCAAACGTCTCATATTGGAAAAATMAATTGTTCCCAAAGGGGGGCAGAGCCCATGAAACCTCACACACCATGAAGATTTGAAATAGGCGGAATTAGCTGTTCTAGCTTTATTTAAAAAAGTATTTAAAAAAATACTCACRGCTAAACCTCACAGAGATATAAAGCTACGTTTAGTTTAATTAAAAGCCTAAATTAACGTCACGTTTGTACACTTGCGGTTTAAAGAGACTTGTGGAGGGATTTTCTCATCTTCAGAATGTGGCCACAGGAAAATGAAAGATGTTAAAAAGCCCATAAGCAGCAAGAGATGAGATTGTATTGCTTTTTTTTTTTGTACAGTGCACTGAAACGATGTTTGTTGTGACTTGATGCTATGTAAAAAAAATGAAATGAATTGAGGAAAGGAAAAGGAAAAAATTAAATTAATTTATTGCTAGTTCTGTTTTTTTTTTCTTTTATGGAGGTAGGTCTAACCTATTGACAATATACTTATGTCATTCATTTCCACATAGCAGACAGGTGAGGCGTCATTCTTTGCTCTATCTGGGTCGAGTGTGTGCGTGAGTGTGTGTGGGCCAGAACTGGGCCAGACAAATTTTGCTTGGGTTATTATTTCTCACATATCATGAGTAAAATCCTCAATCTGTGTTTGCTTCTTGCACATAATCCATTGGTCCAGCATTGCCAGTGAAGTAACATCTAGAAACTAAAGTGAAGCCAACACAATGCCAAAAAGGCAAAGACGTAAAAAATGATTTCAGAGAAGCAACTGTTGCTGCCTACTGGTTTAGTAAGACTTACAAGGCCATTTCCAAACAGTTTGGAGATGATCATTCAGTATTACAAAGTTATTCCTATGTGGATCGCATTTGATAAAGCTGTCAAAATCATAGGAGCAGATGGCTCAACTACTTCCCCCTAGGGCTCGAATAGATTCAAAAAGCCTCAACTAGTATGTTAAATAAAACAAAAATGATGACAGGACAATAAGAGAAGCAACAACAACAAAAAACTAACTATGACAGGTTTGCTTTCCTGCTATATATTTTGTGGAATTAAGGTTGGACTGAAGGGAGTCCAAAGTGGATGTTTGGTCATAAAGCACAGCACAGTGTTCTGAGAAAGCCAAACACAATATCAGCATAAAAACACCTCCTATTAGACGTCAAGACTGGCAAAGGACTGCTGGTAATATTTTTTGCTTGTTTTGCAGCTGCAGGACCTGGGCACCCCGCAGTCTTTGAGTCAGCCGTGAACTACCCAGTATTCAAAATCTTGGCTCCAACTGTAATACTGAGTAGAGCTGCAAATTTGCATCAGAAGATATRGCATTGACTGGCCAAGTGAAAGGTCAGACCTCACCCCACCTAGACATGCTGCGGCAGGACCTTAAATGATCACTCTGTAACAAACTTGAAAAAAAAAACGTATATATATATTAATCATGTGACCTATTTAGTAAACATTTCTTAGTTGATATTTAAAATAATTTTCCACTACAAATACTGTACATGCATGTCACACCTACTAAACATCAAATTTTTCTACAAATTAGCTAGAAAAAACACACTTTTCTTTGACTCCTCTTGTGTCTTACTGACAGCACGAAGCACATGTGAAACCTGACATGACCCAAAAATAGTTACCCAGCAGTCGTCCACAAGGTTCCCACCAGCGTGGTTGTGTGTTATGACAGTCTGCTTGCACTACAATTTGAGGACCGAGAGTATATTCCACCATACGTTYAATTCCCAACAAATTATAATGTAGGACAAAGACTAAAATGTATATGTATTTAAAATGTATTTATATAGGTARGTTTAAAAGGGCGTGCATGTGTGTGTGGACTTACCCAGTATGAGAGCAAGCAGTAGAGCAGCACAGACACACACAGACATGACCAGGGCTATTTTGTAGAGACGATTCGTGCCCTTCTCTGGTTTAACCCCACCACCACCTAAATGCTCCAGCTCCATCCTTCCTACTTAGTAATGTACTAGACTTAAAAAAAGACTAAAAAGCCAAAAATAAAGAAGCCGTAGATCAAACAAACACAAAAAACATCCTAAAAAATAACAATAAAAAAATCAAACTTATAAAGAAATTTAATTTAAAAAGTTAAAAAAGAAGATATTTTACAAAGTTTAGCTTTACTTTCCAACTCGAACAGCACAAACCTCTTCCAGTTTCTCAATCTAATCTGACAGCTGTATGTGTAGTTTATCTCACTTTACTCTGGCTCTTCGAACTGTTCCTCCCTCCATTCTCAAACACTCCTCCTCTCCTCCGACACTCCTCCTTCCTCCAGCTTCAACTGGAGGGGAAAAAAAGGGACCAGTCCTGCAGAGATCATTTGTTAAAATCACTAACTAAAACCAGAGCCCTATGTGGATGAGTCTCTGTTGCCTCCTGCTCTTAATGACAAAATCATAAATGTGTTTAGTCCCATGCACTGAACAGGGAACAGTGTTCTGCAAAATGTTTATCTGATCAGAAAGCCACTAGACCAGAACGATGGGCTCACAGGAGCCTGATTACAGGAGATTAATCCATTGGGATTGTTGCCGCCTGTAAAAACACATCAGCAGGTTTGTCAGGGCACTGTTAGTCTGAAGGCCCAAGAGGTGGCAACGCCAGTGACACTTCAGCCACTGATTGGCCTTCAACCTCCCAAATCACTGTGGTTAGATTTCTTTCTGCATGTGCTTATTAGGGTTTGGGGTCTCAGCCAAAGAGCCCTTATTTAGACATGACTTCCTCTGCTGCCCAAAACACTCATTCATCAAGTAGAAACGCAGACCACAATGCTATTGTTTTCCAATTGCGACTCGCAGTCACTCGTATCCTGTTTGTTTCGAAATCTCATCAGAGGCCCAGCTCCGACTCTCTCCACTCCACTTTAGGAGCTTTACAGCTCTGCATTCTATGGCTGATAGAGTTGCACTGCGTTTTTAATTATCCAGCTCCAAAGTTTCACTGTAAAGTCCTCCCAATCACTAATAGCATTATAATCAGAGTTTCGGCTATCTGAGTTTGGGTGAATATTGTAAACAATAAAATCAGTGAGAGCTTCCAAGTTTTAGTTTTATGGTTTCTGTTTGTTATTGACTGCAGCCAAAAACACCCATGTCTATTTGTGTTTGTGTCTATTTTTTTATCATTTATTTATACAGGAAAATCTCTTGAGACTCATTGTCTCATTTACAAGACAGACCTGTTACAAAAATATTTACAGATATTGAGCAAAAAATTTGGTCGGGTCAGCCCTGTCTGTCAGCAAAATATTTTATGAACCTACGAATGGATTTAAACCCTACTGACTGTGGGGGCAGAAATCATAAGATTTTTTTTTCTTCTTCTGCTACCTTTCATTTAATTTGATTTTTTTTTATTTTTTGTATGTTGAATTTATGATGTTTTGTTTTAAATGAATAAACTTTATAAATAAATGAATAAATAGTACACCTACACTGGGTTAATGTTTGGAGTCACTCCAATTCATTACGGTCACCACAGTCCATCAACATTAACCAGCACAGAATAAAATTTAAAAAAGACTAAAACACTGTTTTATGGATGGTGTGGTTGTAGCTGACAGTCTTACAAAACTCAGACTGTGCTAGTCATTATTTTTACAATTTGAGCAAATCTCTCATTTCACAACATTAGATATTAGTTTCAAACTCTGGTGACAGGTGGTATTAATTTGTTCAAAGAATCCTAGGCCTTTCATTTTATTTGTGCCTTCTTGCATAAAAAAAGTTTCATTATTCATACAGAAATGTTTAGAGTGCACAAACCAAAGATTCACTTTCAAGATCAACATTCTGACCTGTGAAATATATACAGGCAAACTACAGTAAAGGTTTGGCTATTTATTAAAGGAATCAAATAGTGACAATTTGCACTCCTGCCCTTGCAAGAAGTACACCATCACACGTTTTTAAATAAACTAGTTCTGCATTCTCACAAAAAAAAAGACAGCCTGAACGTGGATCTTTTTTTGTCCTCTCCCTTCATCATCCCCCCACGCCTGTTGACACATCCCTCCAGGCTGTCATTAGAACAAGATAACAGAACGACACGTGAGACGACATAGGCTCAGTTTGCATCAACTGCAGAAAAAAAAACAGCAGCTTTGAGAAAGTCTTATCTTAACATAAACCACACTAAAACTACCAAGTTCATCCAGTCCAGTCCTGTTCTACTACACACTGAACTAATTACTGCACAGCGATGAAGCCCACAGCCACAGTGAACCTGCTGACACAGGTGTCTGCTTTTCTTTAGTAAATACACCTTTGTCTCAGAGCTGAAGGCCCCTTAGTACGGTATTTACATGTCTGTGGGGAACACCCTTTGAAATTACAATGTGTCAACTGATACTCACTCACTGAGGAAGCACATTTACTGCTAGACTTCTTCATAATGCTAAAGCGACTCTGCGGTTTGGAGCGTTCCCAAAATTGTAGCCTGCATGCAGTGTCTGGGGAAGACAATGTACTGGAGGTAAATCAAGTATAAAATTAGAGTTTATTCAATAGACTCATGGTCCACATTGACATAAAAGAGACAAAAACAAACATGATACACAACAGAAAGGAAAGAAAAACTTCTAAATTTAATGTTCAAACAGACAAATTTTTTTCATATATTTATTTTTTGCAAATATTCACTCATTTTGATTTGATGTCGAAGCTGGGACAGGGGCAACAAAAGACGGGGAAGAGTTGAGGAATGCTCAAAAAACACCAGTTTGGAGCATTCTGCAGGTGAACCGCTTAATTGGAAACAGGTGAGTGTCATGACTGGGTGTAAAGGGAGCATCCCTGAAAGGCTCAGTCATTCACGAGCAAGAGTTGGGCAAGCTCACCAATTTGTGAACTGCCTGACCAAAGAGTTTGAAAGTTTAAAAACATTTTACAATTGATTTTTCCCCCAATCAACAGTACATAAAAAAATTTAAAAAATCAGATAATCTGGACAACTTACTGCAAGAAGCAGCAAGACTGAAAACCAACATGGAAAGCTAGTGACCTTTTACACCTCAGGCCACACTGCATTAAAAAAACATACATAATTTTAACAAAACTATTACCATATGGGCTCAGGAACTTTAAGGATATACTTAAAGTTATATTCAAGAATTGTTATTAAAATGAACTTCAAGTATACTACTTTTTGCTGAGGGTTTGGAATGTGCTTCAGGCATCAAATTCAGAAAGAGTGAATTTTGCAAAAAATAAAACCATAAAGTTTATCCTTGAACATCAAATATCTTGTCTTTGTGCCATGTTCAGTTAAATATAGACTGAAAAGGATTTGCAAATCCTTGTATTCTTAAAAACAGCAGAAGCAATCTTAAGTAATGTCTAAAAAGTTTGCATTTCTTTGACATGACAAGCAGAACTCTAAAATATAGGAAAATGGTAATTTAAACAATCTTAGTGTTTATATATTGGGACATATTTCCAAAATAAGACTTCACAAGCAGATGCAGTGTAATAGATAACCATTCATTTGACGTGGGAACACTTGGACACACAGYAGTGTATGTTCAGTACTAAGATGGCAACGTGTCCAAGTCAAGCGGAACTAAAGCGAGCCCAAATCATCAGTCCTCCACCACTGTGCTGACAGCTGACTGGTGTTTAAGCTGATGACAGGCTGCATTTGTTTATTTTTTCCTAAATGTGGTGCTTGTATTTTGGTCATAGATCTCCACGTTTCGTCTGGTCRACGGACATTGGTCAAGAAGTCTTGCAGTTTGTTTAGTTTTAGCTCTGCAAACTTAACCTGCGCAAACTTGCTCTTTTAGGACAGTGCTGTTTAAATCCCTGTCCCTCGTAGTCACTATCTTACCTTTCCTTGCTCCAACACACCTGATTAAAATGTTGAACTACCTATTCATAATCCCCTCAAGCTTTACAGAAGCCTGGTAATCACATATTCATTAAAATCATGCATTGAGACGGAAACACACAAAATGTTCAGGATAATGGTTTTCAAGGACCAGGATTGGAAATCACAGGGTTCAATACTGGATATTTTCTTTTAGCAGTCCTTCCCAACAAGATTTATGTGTCTAGTCGTTTTTCTAAGAGTACTTTCAATACCTAAAATTGAACATGCCAAGTATGTAATAGTTATTTTTCTTTCCCTCAGTCTTTCTTAATTTCTCAGAACCTAATAGATATTAACCTCAAAATGAACTTGCTGGAATGACCTTCCCTGAATTAACACAGTAATGAGCTTCAAATTGTTTTTTAATGGTTATACATAGATTGATGGATACAACACATCATTGGCAGAGGTCTTACTACTTGACATTGTGTTAAAACACACATAAGAACACAACGTGCAAACTGCCAACACATCTGCTTTTATAAAGATGCTCACCCTTGCTGATAACCAGTTAACCAATGTATAAAAAAGGCACCACTCACCTGATAAATTTCTTTGTACTACATTTTTCCAAACATTCCTGCTTTGGATTGGTAAAGTAGGACACCTTTTTTTGGACCAAAGACAACACAATTTATTATTAGTCCCTGATAATAAATATTTCAAATGAACAAGTGTGTACTTACATTTCATCTTTACTGTGGTTTACCAGCAAACACAACCACTTCACATAGTGATGGAAATCAAATGTGTCATTAATAAGCTCAAGATGTATTTAAAAAAAAGAGGGGAAAAAAGGCATTTTATTTCACAATTTTGACAAATTTCCTGTTAACCAGACAGCAGAAGACAGTGGCAGGTCAAGTAACCACAAAGATTTCAGAAAATTCAGGAAAGTGTGAGCACAAAAGGTTATTTTCCTGTTGTAATGCCTGAAAAGGATAAAGACACTTGATTTGACTCAGTAATTCTGTACAACACCCACCTCTTAGTTTGCTGAAATGGACAGAGGTTCTTTCAGCAAATCAAGGTAATTCATGTCGATTTAGTGCAARTCTCCCAACAGTGAAAAGTCATGCAGATCAGAAAACTGCCTCAAACATTCAGAAAAAAATTATGGTTTAAAAAAAGTTTGTTTGAACAAATTTCATCATCTTCATTACACAAATTTTCTCAAAACTTCTGTTTCATGGCAACAACAAACTGCAGCATAAAATGCAGGTTTTCCTCACCTCGAAACATGAACGCTTCACAAATTTTAAAATACTCAAACGTGTTTTTGTGAACAGCCATCTTGTGCATTACTGGTTTTGTGTATGTGCTTCTGTATTGACAGTGGCAACAAGGTGGAAGAGAGTTTTCAGTGTCGGTCCAGAAACTATTTAAAGGATGAGCGAATTTCTGCTTAAAAGTCCGCAGAAAGTAGCAGCACTGCTGGGTGATGCAGTCTGTTCCCTGTATGTTTCACAGTTTATTGGTCCACGCGTGCGTAACAGCARCCTGAGATGTCACGCATCCTCTGCACAGAGGTCGCTGCCGTTCACTTCCGTCTTGACGGGTAAGAACGCCGCYGTTGCTACCGTGCCGTGACCATCCACAGGCCCAGTGCCACGTTGGCTGCTAACAGGGCGCTGCCCGCCAGCAAGAGGAAGAAACCGATCAGCTCGCGTTTCTGACGATCTGTTACTATGGTCACTAGTGTGGCCTCCAGCAAGGCGTTCAGCATCCACTGACCGTCCAGAGCGAAGCAGGGCACGGAGTTGACAACTGCTAATGCACCAGAGAGGGAGACCACATATCTGAGAAGGGAGGGCAGCTCAGGACAAAACCCAAAAGGATTAAAACAGAAAACAAGATAAGGCAGATCACTCATTAAACTTTTAAATTTTTCCTAGTGGAAATACGAGTTTATATCAGGTGACATAAATCTGATAGATGCTTTCTGACAAAGCAGCAGATTCTCCATCTTTTATTTCTAATTAAACTGTTTCATATAAACAACACAGTCTTATTTACAGCAACCTTCCTAGAGTTTTAGTGTCTCTTAAAAGTGCCTGTGACATATTTTTTTATAATAAATATGAATGCATTTTTGAAAAGATAACAGAGAGGAACAGCTGTTGACAACAGTAACAGGAACATAAAGTGAAGACAKAGGGGAATGTCTAAATGAAACATGAATATTTTGATGTTTTAGATTATTTTGAGCCACTATCAGAGAMAGATTAAAGAGTTAAGAGTTCAAATATTGTTTCACTGAACAACAACTGGAGGGTCCCATCTTTTAATGTCTGTTGATAGTGAACATTATAAAACTACTGCCTACAGAACTTTTTGTCTTATTTTAATTTCATTTTAGTAGTTTAATTCCTACCTTTTTTTTTTTTGCTTATGTAACTATGACAGTTGTATATATGTTTTATATGTTTTAATGAATTTTAATCCTGTTTCATTACTGGGGTCTGAAAGTTAATTAAAAAAAGAGAGGGGCAGTGTCACCTTCAGTTATAATAAACATTTGTTAATGAATGAACTATGTATAGTTTGAGCAGCCAAAACTGTACAGATATCTAGAAAAAAATCCAGAGGAATTTTATTGGTACAGTTTTAGTTGCTGTAAAATTGTATGTTTTTCCTCAAATATTGCTATTGCACTTTTTGTCATGCCTTTACCTCCTTCTTTACTGGACAAATGGTTCTGATTGGTTACCCAATACACCAAAAGTGGTGGGGTGTTGACAAGCTAGTTATACTTTTATAAAGACGAACAACACTTCAGCTAGTTAGGAATTATGAAAGAAAGTTACAAAGTGATGTTGTTAAGTAAAAAGGAGAAACGCCTAAGTAAAATAAAAGAGTTGTTGAAGTCTATTCAGGAGGGAAAATGGTGTGCCTAAAAGTTTCTGAGCTTGCAACTGTGACCATGACACATCTTTATAGATGGAATAACATTTAAATAATAATAATAATAATAATATGGACACAAAGTCTGCTAATAAAGTTTTGATTGATTGATTTACAGTAATATCTAGTTTTTATTAAAGTTTCACTGTGCTGTATTTGTTCTAAAAAGGACAAGTTCAAACAATTGTGAAGATAAGAAAACCACAACAACAGACTAAYAAGTAGCTGCTCAGCAGACTAGGAGAACAACGTTATAAGGCACAACTTTAGAGAAATCACATAAGCAAATACATTGTTCTATTAAATGGCGAGTTTAATTATTATAAAATGTACTATTGCTTAATTCAACAAAGTCAGCCTTTATTTATAAGCTAATATTGCTAAAGATCTTTGCTTATTTTTTTTAATTCACTGTACACATCAGTTTGTGTAATTAAACTTTTTGACTTGTGCTACTTCTAAAGTGAGTCATCCTGTAAATGATACCACCTTCAATCTAAAACACTGTGTTCCAGTCAGCAAAGTCCATCTCTCCTTTATAGAGATAAAYAACAAACCACAAATGAGAAAAWGCAACTGAATTGGTTTTCAAAGTGCTGAACTGCAATACAGCGTTTAAAAGCCTGGTAAGCATTTGTAAAGTGCATTTAATCTCTAAAGTGCAATGATTGTTAAAAGAATCCAGAAATAATTATAATTTGAAATAAATCAAATACATACACCTTAAATATAACACCACTGTTTTGGAGAAGGAAACMGTGAAAGGATACTTGAGAAAGGTCTCCAAGAATACGGGCAGGTCCAAGTGGAGAAAACCAAAGCGGGGTACAAAGTTGGTCAGACTTACTGGCAAGAAAAACAGGAAACAGAAGCCACAATTGCATGAATTTGTTATAAATGTACAACACGTCTCCGCCCAGTCATTACAGGAGCCAACCAAACACCTACAGAATCAAGTCAGCAGTAATTATGTGAATATTGCAGTTTACGGTTGGTTGTAGGTGCAGTGTATGTCCTTCAAGGGTGAAACTTTCATATAGTTTCAAAGTGAGCAACAAGCAGCACAACAAAAGCAAGAAAGCACATAACGAGGTACATACCTGCATGCTGCAGGTGGGGTGGATACCCGACAAACAGCATGTGTGTGTTGGGAGGATGTGTGACACGAATGAACCGTGTCTGGTTCTCCAGAGAGGGAGTGACACAAACGCTGGCGGCGGCGGCGGCGTGTTCGGAACAGTCATCGTCAGTGTGACACACTCGCGTGCCCGTCACCATTTTGCGCACGGGCATACAGGCGTACTGCAGCCGCAGAGAACACAAAAGAGAGAAAACTTCCTTCTTTTCATTTCTGTAAAGCATTTTTTAAACAATCACAGTTTATCATTTTTTATCTACTTAATGTTTAAAAAATAAACACCTTTCTTACTCTAATATGAGCTTTTAAATTGATTAATGTCTCAGATTTAGGAAAAAAATAAAAGAAGCAGCAGCACTGCAAGTTTCTGATAACTGCAAACTGAAATCATGTAAAATTTCAAAGAAAAAATWATTTTCAAAACTGAGTCACAATTAGTGGAACAAGGTCTTTTTTGTGATTATTTTTTTTCTACTGGATTTTTTTTTTCTTAGCTCCAATGTGTGAGGCTGTAAACTTCTGTGCAGTCACTTCCAGAAATATTAGCTGTGAATGCTGGCAGACGACAAAAATGATGAGCAGTGTTGGCAAAAGCTTTGGCTGCAGCTTTTAATATTTGAGTCATGCATTCTAAGTATAAAGTTTGTTAGTAAATGAGAATAACAAAGAGTTGCTATATTTAAAAAAACATATAAGTGCTCTGACARTAATTATAAATCTATAAATGAGATGTATATTTAGGACAATGTCATCCAAACTAAAATATAGAGGTGACRGGACTTTTATTAGCTGCTACTGCAAACCTGTGGGACAGTTTACCTCTTTATGTGTAAACCATTGAGACTGTTGAGACTTAAAATCTATGTTTAAGACCCCTCTTTATTCCTTTGGCTTTGATTCAGGCAGAGTTTGAGATCTAATAAGAGCTYACAGTTTTATTGTTTTTGTTGTTTTGTTTTGTTTTTAGCTTGCTTGTTCTTTTTTTATTGTTGTCTTGCATTTTGTTTTACTGAATTGTAAAGAAGTTTGGTCAGCTTTTGTTGTTTTTATGTGCTATAAAAATACAATTGACATTGACATGCATATTTTACTAATATATAAAACATGTGATCRGATTTACATGCAAAGACAGAAGGGAAAATAATCCTACTTAGGCCTTTTATTTTGACCATAGGTATGAAGAGAAAAACAGCAAGTCCTGTAGCAGTCAGTCAGTTATAGTCAGTCTGGGATTGTAAAAAAAAACAAGAAAGAACGCCTAACCTAACTAGATCTAAAATGTTTTAGCACAATTCAGGTAGGAGGTAAACAGTTTTTTTCCTCAAATGAAACAGGAATAAAAGTGCACAGAAAAAAGGAAGTGGTATAAAAATGGGTTGCTCACAGGATGAATATGCCGTGTGTGTGTGTGTGTGTGTGTGTGTGTGTGTGTCACCTCTCTTTCTCTGTTGTTCCTGCCCTGTGATTTAATGTAGGAGAAGCAGAGGTCCGTCAAGCTGTTATTGCGGCAGCAGTCGATCGTTCCGTCCAGGCGCTTGAAAGCTACCAGAAAAAGAGGAAAAAAACAGTAATATGGAACAAAGCAGCGTCTGAAACTCTGGAAACATGCCACATGACTCTCAACTGGCACAAAAAAATTATATCATGCCTTGCTGAATTTATCACTAGCCTCACTCTGTCTAAKAGGTTACAATAACACAAGCAGAGAGCAAAATGTTTGGCTGAGAAAATCAAACATGTATGTAACCAAGAAAGCTAAAATCAGTACCAGTAAAAYTGCCAAAAGCAAATAAGTGAGATTTACATGATCAGTCAGTGAAATGATAGGATTTTATTAAACATTGTTTTATGTTACTAAATGAAATAAGACACACAAGACAAAGCAAAAAATATAAAAGTGTTGCAGGGGTTTTGATTGGCTGATATTTTATGTCCAATCAGATCTCCTATTACAGCTCTTTGGCACTGACCCAATTTAATTTTTGAGTAAAACACAGTGGTAAAAAATAAAGTATTAACATTTAGATCAAACATGTATGTTGTGAGACATCATCTGATTCTTTCTTCTGTAACACAGTAACAGCATCRTTCCTTGCTTGTTTTGACAGAGATTCACTCACGTCGCCCATGAGCCCAGCTGGGCTGTAGGCTGGCTGCTGGGACACAGTATCCTGTCTGTGGTGTGCGGTAGAGWTGAGACAGGCAGTTGGTCCAGTCCTCAACTCTCCTCACAGGACAATCCTCCAGCCCTCTCACAATGTCCCCGACTGACAGACCCCTGGGTCCATCAGCTGCAGAACCCTGGACCAAAACCACACAGAGAAACAAAACACTTGCTTCAAATGGGGAAATATATATATATATACATATATGTCAGTCAGTCCTGTAAGCCTTAGCAGTAGAGAAATTCTAGAAAAGAGCACATATTAGGAATATATTTTTTTTGCAAAATGTTGTAAATAAACTCCTCAGCAACATACAATATCTCAGTGACAAGGCTTACTGATCTTTAAATAGATTTCTTTTAGATTAACATTAATATTTTAAAATGCAAATTATCTTCATGAAATGTAAATGGTTTTCTGGCAAACTCATCAATCAGATCGAGTGCTTAGCTTTAAAGAAAGAGTTCAGTATTAAAAAGGTGGGGTTATAATGAGTACATGTTAGCGGTCAGTGTCTTACCTACAGTAGACAACCATAGGAGTGATTTTAGTTTTAAGACTCCAGAAGAAAATCTTGTGGACAAATCAAACAGATACTCAGACCAGGACTCACCTAAGGTTTATTTTCAGCCTTCTAAGCAATTCAAACAACAAAATCTATAGTACTTCAGCTTAAAAGTTTTATTTAAATGTTTTACAGAATGTCTTGTTTGACCACTGTCTACAGCAGGTAAGACACTAACTGCTAACCTATACTTCAAACAATGCTGACTTTGAAATTATTGAAGCATATAATTTGGAAACAGTTGGGCATGTTTGTTTAACTGACCAAAAAACCCAAACAAAGAATCTAAAAGTACAAAATCAGACTAGCGTTTCAGTTTGAAACATTTATGCTAACGTAAACTAAAACACTGCTGACTGTAAAGACAAATCAGTGTGCAAACTGATCAGATGATCTGCACATTCAACTTCAATATTTTTTTAGTTGGGCATTACTGTTACTCCATACAGAAAAAAAATGCAGCACTGACCTGAACAACCTCAGTAACCAGCGCCCCGACTCCAGTGGTGTACATGGGAAACAGAAAGACCGGCAACAGGAAGAGGATGGCCAGTGCTGCCACGCACAGAACAAAGTTGTGCCACACGCCTGCAAACAAAAACATTTTAATTTATTCTTGCTTAGAATTGTACAACTGTAATACTCAAGTTGAAATATAATTATCTTATGCTGTTTTTTTTCTCTGTTGTTTATTAAAACAAGTAGGTCGTTTTTGGTGCAACCTGGCCTCTTGGATAGAGTTCACCTTTAAAATCCAAAATAAGCACGCTTTCCAGAAATTGTATTACTTTTCCGACAATAACTTTATTTTATTTTTTTTAATTTACAAGAGACTTTTGGACAAATATTTTGAGAATACTGCAGCGGCTAATCTTTTTTTTATTAAGGGGCAATATAATGTAACCCCCCCGCTGCGCTGAAATGGGCGGGACAGAAGCAGAAGGTGGTTCTTAAAGAGACAGAGGACAATTTCAAGGCGTTTAGAAGAGGAAGTGATGAGAAGATAAGTTTATTTTCTATTTAAACATAAAAACAGCATTTTAATAACAGCTAAWGMTGACACAGATACTCTYTTATGGTATAGTATTTAAATGTATGCCTGAGAAACACATAATATTGCCCCTTTAAACGACCCATGTAAAGCACTGTAACCGCTTTTTTCATTTCTCATAATCTGTCCTTAGGATTTCGTGGTAAGGGAGTAACCACTCCCAACTAAAAATAGACATCTATACCATCTTAATTATGCAGGAAGACTCAGTCACTCATATCCTACAGCAGGAGAAAAGGTTTCCTGATCACTTGACGTCAAGACGACATTTAGATCCTGACTCTGCTCAGTGGAAAATCAAAAGCCAGAGAAACAAGATAGTTTGTATCAAGTCGTGGAAAGATTAAACTGATTTACTGTCAGAGAAAAAAAAAGAAAAACAAAGTTGGTATTTTTTGCTAAATAAAGTAGAAAAACAAGTTTTAATGTCAGGCCAATGTGCMTGTAAATTTGGTTGGATCAAAGAGGTAAACAAGCCATTGAAGTTTGTTTTTTTTAATCCCCAACAGGAATAAATCAAATACATTTTTGTGCGAACACTCKTCCCATTAAGGGAGTTTCATCCTCCTTGCTATGGTTACTCATGTGACTTGACATCTCAGACTTGTCTGTTATTGTCTTGTCAAAGAAGCAGAATTATTTTTACTAGATAGTCAGTCACACATTTTCACAGAGGCTCTTTTGCATTTTGGCATCTGAAAAGGAGCCCAGCTTTCAAAAAGAATCTCTCAAGATTTCTCTCTCTTTCAAATAAAAATAAAATGAGAAGGAAAAAAGAAAAAAAAATCCTTAAATATTTTCTGTCCATCTACTGATTAGTTGGAACAGCTTTGGCATCAAAACAGGACCTACTTATTATTTGTCAATTAGTCCCAATGTTCTGGCAGACTGGTACAACTGCAA